CCACACCACACCACACCACACCACACCACACCACACCACACCACACTGCAATGCACTGCACTGCACTGCACTGCACTGCACTGCACTGCACTGCACTGCATTCAACTGTAATCAACATTACGGCATGTGACATGAAACGACGCAACAAGTGCCTCAAATTGACTAATGTGTTGTGTTGTTCGAGTGGTGGAGTTGGGTGCCCTGTGTTGGTGTCTTGGTGTGTTGGTGTGTTTGTGTTATTGTGTGTGTGTGTGTGTGTGTGTGTGTTTGTTTGTGGTGGTTGGGGTGCGTGGAAGCGTGCCTGTGTGTGCGTGGATGTGGATGTGGATGTGGATGTGAATGTGTGTATTTGATAGTGAGTGATAGATGGAGTGTTTGAATGTGTTAGTGTTGATGTGCGAGGTGAATGTGAGTGGAGTTGTCGGCGACCATACCACGTTGAAAACACCGGTTCTCGTCCGATCACCGAAGTTAAGCAGCGTTGGGCCCGGTTAGTACTTGCATGGGTGACCGGCTGGGAATACCGGGTGTTGCCGGCTTTTCCCACTCATCTCGTCTCATCTCATCTCATCTCATTCACACACACACTCTCAAAATATACACCCCATCACTCAACAGTCACACACACACACTCAATCCAACCTCACTATCACCTAGACTAATGGAAACAAAACAACCACACAAACACACAACCACACAACCACAAATAACACCAGCCAGGCAGCCAGGAAACCCAACACACACTCACCAAACCACCCTGTCTATCTCACTCACTCACACACACACACACACACACACACACACACACTTCAACTCTCTACACCCAACACCTGCCTAACATACCAACATTCATTTACCAAACTTACTACTCACACGCACACACCACATTTCAAACCATTCGCCTCGATCGATCACACTCAGCCTGACACTGACATTCTCCAGCAGCTGGAAAACCGAGCACAACGCCTACACAACTCCACAACACACAACTTCACTCCCTCTCTCTCTTTCTCTCACTCTCCCTCTCCCTCCCTCCCTCCCTCCCTCTCTCTCTCTCTCTACCCCCCTCTCTCTCTCTCTCCATCTCCCTCACCACATACACACACATACATACACCTACACATAAACATACACATACACATACACATACATATACACACATAGAAAAACACACTCACACACGCACACATACAATCGACACTGCACACCACACCACACCACACCACACCAAACTGCAATGCACTCCACTGCACTGCACTGCACTGCATTCAACTGTAATCAACATTACGGCATGTGACATGAAACGACGCAACAAGTGCCTCAAATTGACTAATGTGTTGTGTTGTTCGAGTGGTGGAGTTGGGTGCCCTGTGTTGGTGTCTTGGTGTGTTGGTGTGTTTGTGTTATTGTGTGTGTGTGTGTGTTTTTTTGTGGTGGTTGGGGTGCGTGGAAGCGTGCCTGTGTGTGCGTGGATGTGGATGTGGATGTGGATGTGGATGTGAATGTGTGTATTTGATAGTGAGTGATAGATGGAGTGGATAGAAAAGGAAAAGAAAAACCTTATTCTTGGTATGAAAATTAAAATCAATACTACCAAGGTAGGTTCAACGTGAGTACAAATTGTTTTTGTATACATAAAGGGGGTTTAAATTTACGGATGGCAAGAGCTTCAATAAATTTAAGCACTCGGCTCTGACCACTTTTATGTAGTACTTTAAAGGCTGTTTTCATGTCTATCCTATGGTTAGTTTCTAGTATATGTTTAGCGATAGACGAAGATGGATGTTTGTCACCTGCACTTATCGGATCTGTTGAGGTCATTTGTTTTTGTAGCCACTTAGGTACATGTTCAGCCTTCCTTAACTGCATATCACGATTACTCCTCCCTATATATGTGTGTCCACACATACATGTAAATTGATAAACACAGTGGGATGTGATGTAATCGTTTATATGTTGTTTCGGTTTGTGCTGTAACATGGACTTGGTCTTCTCTACAATGATGACCTTAGCTGCATAATACGTTTTACAGATGGCCGATCTAAGTCTTTTCCTCACAACAAAGCTATGTGAATCACCTCTAAATGGTAATGAGATGTAGACATTTTTCTTAGCAACGGAACACTGTATACTTTTCAATGGTACATAACTTTTGCACCGGTCGATAAATCTCAACGGGTATCCATTCTGTATCAGAGTTGTCGTCAGTAAGTTGGCTTCTTCCTCCCTGGTGTCATCGGTGCAGATACGGTTTATCCTGTTGAATAAGCATCTGACTAAACCACGTTTGTATTGGACTGGACAATAGCTATGGAAATTAAGATATTGCCCTGTCCATGTAGGTTTCCTATAGATCGACCTCCTGATCGAGCCATCCTCCCGTCGACTGAGCAATACGTCTAGGAACGGTAGCTGGTTGTTCGTCTCTTGTTCATAAGTCAGGCTAATGTGATTCTGAGCCGTGTTCATTTTCTGTAGCAGGCACATTGCATCATCAGGCTTTTCACATATAATGACTATATCATCAACATATCTCTTATAAAGTGAAACCCTTCCAATGAGATCGTCAGCCATGTTTTCAACATATGACATGTATACATCAGCTAGCAACGGTCCTAATGGACTGCCCATCGCGACACCATCAATCTGTTGAAAGTGTTCGCCCTCGAATGTGAATTCAACTTTATCAGTGCATAATAACAATAAATCTTTTAAAAAATTAATAGGGATAGGGAATATAAGACTGTTAGAAGAAATATAGTCACATAAAATATCAATTGTTTTTACTAGAGGTACATTAGTAAATAAAGAATTTACATCAAACGAGTACATAGTCTTATCCTTGATATTAATATCATTTAAACAGTCAATAAGGTCAAATGTATCTTTCAATGAGGACTTACATAAATGGCTTCTGACAGGGTTCAAGAGCTTTGCCAACCATTTGGCTAGATTATGTGTGGGTGATCGACACATAGACAATATTGGACGCAGTGGGTTGTCAGGCTTATGAGTTTTAGGTAACCCATATAGATGTGGATGTTCAGATCCCATAGGTTTTAGACGATTAAATTCCTCCTTATTGATTAAATTCATACCAAGCATTTTCACAAGTTTAGAATTTACTCTGCCTTCCAATTTACGTATCCCCTCACAGGGGGCATCTGACGTAAATTTGCTTTCATCACTGAGAATAGATAACATCTTACTTTTATAATCAGACGTGTTCATAACGACCACACCTGATCCTTTATCGGGTTTTAGTACGACAATATCAGAGTTATTTCGTAATCCTTTCAGTGCTTGGAAATGCTCACGCGTTAAGATGCTTTTCTGTCTTGGACCAGGATTATGAAACCCATGGGCGATGTCTACTAATTTAGCTCTTAGCCAGTTCTCATTGTCTGGAGAAGTTGGGACAAGTGAGCTCAGTTGATCATACAGGTTTTCAAATTGAGCATCGGTTGTTAAATCAGAGTTTTGTGTTTGAGGGACAGAAAAACTGAACCCAAGGGAGAGCGCCTCTTTATCAAGAACAGATAACTGAACGGATGATAAATTCGTCACATAGTTGTCTGGGTTAACTGGGAATGAATTCACATGGTCGCTCGTAATCTGAGATTTGTTCAGCTTTGTCGTCATCCTTTCTTTTGCTCTTATTATAACCCTTTATGTATACAAAAACAATTTGTACTCACGTTGAACCTACCTTGGTAGTATTGATTTTAATTTTCATACCAAGAATAAGGTTTTTCTTTTCCTTTTCTATCCCTTCCTATTCCTATGTTTCCTATTAACTTCATTGACCTTTTCGTAAATTTTCATATAAATAGTTCGACAAGTCCATGTGTGATCAGATTGTTCGAAATGTATAGCGCTAATACATCACATGTTTCAGATAATCTTCGTCTTCTCATTACGCTGTTTAAATTTATCAAAGGGACCAGTTGCTTTAAATGATAGATGGAGTGTTTGAATGTGTTAGTGTTGATGTGCGAGGTGAATGTGAGTGGAGTTGTCGGCGACCATACCACGTTGAAAACACCGGTTCTCGTCCGATCACCGAAGTTAAGCAGCGTTGGGCCCGGTTAGTACTTGCATGGGTGACCGGCTGGGAATACCGGGTGTTGCCGGCTTTTCCCACTCATCTCGTCTCATCCCATCTCGTCTCATCTCATTCACACACACACTCTCAAAATATACACCCCTAGGTGATCACCCCCTAACCCTAACCCTATTCCAAGGGACAAATAATAATAATAACTAATACCGAAATTCGATATTGACGCAAACAATGAATGACTTGGTTTATGAGTTTATTGATATTAAGGATAGAAAGCCTAGGTAGGTGAAAGTGACTACTTCCTTCGGGTTTCTCCTCTTCATGGTGATTGGTGCTTGTCTTTCTTGTTGTTGTTGATGGTAATTTGGTATCTACATCACATCTGTCTTCTCTGCACTCACTTGAAGTCCCTTCTTCGCTGCCCTGCCTCTTCTGTCAGCTTGTTGGTTTCCACCTGTAGATCGAGTTTGTGAACGACTTTAGACAGTAGACATAAATCATCATGGGCGAAATCGAAATCTTCTCCTGAGGTCTTTCTATTGGTCAAACAGCTTGTTCCCAGCCTGTCGCTCCCCACAGTCTCTTGGATGATCCAGTCCAGTCCAGTCGACCGCAATCAGGAAGACCATTGGTGAAAGTAGGCGGCAACCTTGTCTCACTCATTCCTGTCTTCAACTCGAATCACTAGGCATGTGGTGTCTACATATAGTTGTTGAATAAAGTTTATAAAGGTTTGTGGTATTCCATAGTGTTGAAGCAGCCGCCAAACCTTTTGTCTGTTGAAGATGTCGAAGGCCTTTTCAAAATCCATGAAGCTGAGTTTGAGAGAGTTGACCGCCACTCTATACTCTGTTCTATGATGATGCGTAGCGTTGCAATTTATAATAACATATATATTCAATTAAGTACACTTTATTAAAGTTAAATGCTGTCTCACCTGGTGGAGAAGCAGTTAATAACCATCTGCGGAAAAATCTTTCAGCCTTCTCCGACATGATATTGGACAGTCGATGCTTAGATAAAGTGTCATCTCTAAGCTTTACAGGCTGACATTCAGATCGTATTTCAGATGTGTTGTTCTTGTCACCCAGATCATCCATTAAGTTAGATATCTATGAATCAGTCAATAATTGAAAGTCAGTTAAATAAATATCTATTCAAAAGTAAACATGATTGATAAGAATATTTGATGAAAGTTTCCAATGTTTATCATATTTTGATACTTTATTTTGGCTTAGCCTAACAAATAGCCTATTTTCATATTTCAATGGATAGGTGAATTACGACAGTAATGTGCTGCAGCATTGTTGTTGCCTTTGTATGGAAAAAGAACTATTAGTTATCTACGATATTCTAAGTGAAAACGGATACCTGGATAAGTTCATCAAAGCTAACATCAACTACATCGGTTCTAAATAAGAACAGTCGAGAAGAAGCCTTTGTTTCTAAGCTTACAATTCAATGAAGATTTCGAAAGTGACATTCTATCAAAACGCCTAGCTAGAGTAGTCAATAGGATGTTTTATGTCAGTTGGCTTTAATTATCATTCAGTAGTTGACCAATGCTCAACCGAGACTCAAGTATAACCTACCTAATATTAGCTCTCCATCTTGTATATATCACTTCAACTGTTCCTATGGAACTAGTTACATAGGGGGCATGTTAGGCAGGTGCGTTTTCAGACACCAGAACACTTACCAGCTTGGTTCGGAGAAACCGAACTGAGAGTGGTGAAAAGTTGATTCCTAGCGCACCTAGTTGACACAGTGCATCACATAGATGCTAATGTCATTTATCTTATTCCAGAAACGATACCACATGTAGCTCGCCAACGCCTGCTCAACATTATGAAACCTATTACAAAAAGACTAATCAAACTTGAACTCCGGATTCAGAAAGAACGTTTCCAAGCCTTACTTCTCCCTTGGTCTTCAGTAAACCAAAGACCACTCCTGCCATCTTATTCGTTATCATTTTGTTCATTATTATATCCCAATACTGTATTAATGCATTTTATAACTGTAGAACCTGATGTGAAAATCTATTGAGAAGAAAATTCTTCATTCAGGTTGTTGCGTTTTATCAATGTTATAAGAATTTCATAAGCTATGTGTATTTGTTAGTTGGTTGGAGGTAATCGGCAGAAAGCCCTAAATCTAGGTTCCGTGCCTTTTGGCACTCGTCAGCAAGGCATGTCTGCAATCTCGTAGTAGTCGTAGTCAGCAACTTTACCACCCAGCTACTCGGGCCACGACTGACCTTCTGTACGACTGGCTTACGTGTACTGATTGGTTACAGGAGTGCAACCAATTTCATGTTGTCTAGTCCTGAGTGAAGACCGAATTCTATCGATCATATTTGCAATGTATATTTGCTCAATACAAACATGTTGTATTGTTGTATCAGAATGTATCAATTCCATGGAAGCATCGAACTAGCATGGAATCTCAAACACGCTGAAACAAACAAAGATGTCATGGTTCCCAGTGAAAAAAGTGAACGAGAAACCGAAGAGACTAACATGTTTCATGGTTGAATTATTATCCAACCAATTACAGTTGTTCTTTGAGTTACTTCACTTTGCTTCAAATTTCGGGACAACATATTCTTCAGAAACGATAGATTGACAATCAGGTAGCTTAAGTATCTAAACTGATTGCAATACTGTTTTCATGTAAATTTCCAACACCTTATTGAGATATTGGAATATAGACGGTTCAGTCAAAGCTATACACACACAATCACAAACAATAGGATGGGACAGAGTGAAATTTTCAAAGCATTGGCTGAATGGATAGCCACGTTGTAGGTTCAGGTTAACACCGAATACTAGCCACGATAATTATTCAGCATATGTTTCACTTACCCTTAAAATTCTACCACTCTTATCCTAAGGGCAAAGAAAACAAACATCAGATCTACATAGTGTCTGTTTTAAAGTTGTGAAGTTACCTTAGAATATCGGTAGAACTATATTTTAGTGACAACCAATCACGTTCAAATATGCATTGACCAATCAGAATGAGGTTAACGAAGAATAAGGTAATTATTTAATTAAGTGGTACTCTTTTACAACTTATGTATCTGTTTTACATGAGAAATAAAGATATTTAGACTTCCAATAAGCTTATCACTTTTGAAACAATAACATTGTTTGTAATGCCACTCATCCATATATATCCATAACATCCCATCGTGATCCTGGTAAAGATCTTAGAGACTTTTGTAAACGACTCTATATATTTTCAAAGTTGTTTTTATGCCTCTTCCAATCCATCCTTTACTCACTGAAAATATCCTTTCATTGTATTTCGGTCACACAACCCAAGAATCTGTGGTTTATCAAGATGTATGTATGTAAATTACCCAGTCCTGTGCAAGTCATTTTCCGAAAGAGATATTCATCTATTTCAACTACACTACCTACTCCATCAAATTTCACATCCAACTGGCATATTATTTCGGAGCAAATATCTCTGCAGTGATGATACTGTCTCACTGAAGCAGCTTCACTAGCATCTGGTGATATTACAGGAGTTTCAACAACCCAGTAGAGAATTAGATAAGATCCCTTGAAAAACGATCTTCTTCTAAAAGATTTCTTCATTGTTACAGGAGAGATAACGAAAGATGAAATCGTGTCTTTTCTTACAGTTATATATACAAAAGCACATTCACAAGGAATCCAACTCTCTGCAAGCAACCTACAACTGAATTTTCGTCACAATTCGTAAGAAATTTGTGCAGCGTCTTAACATGCTAGATGGACGTAACGAATGACCTTGAACCTAACATCTCAAGCTTGATTGGTCGCCCTCAGGGAGTCACCTCATCAAAGTTTGGTTCTGGCAAAATCCAGCTCATTAAGTAGTAATCTCATGGGGAGATCAAATCAATAAAAAGTAATTGAATTACTCTTTACCACAGCTTTTAGACTTTACTCAGATGCCTAACAAATCCTCACCCATAAGTTATTGGTAAATTTTTGTTTTACACCACAGAATTTTATCTAGGTAACGAGGTAGAGGAGATGAAATTTATCCTCTAATCAAGATGCTCTCAACAACCATGTGCAGTAAGCAATGAACCGCATCTATTGTGTAGGGGTTACTGCCAAAACCTAAACGATAACACTGATTAACTCCTCTTTTGGTGTGAACCTGCTAACTGACAAATGATCTCACTTGCTTCAATGGAAATATTTCCTTTGAGTTCAGTTTGTCACTTGAATCCTCTTGACTTTCTGCTAGATTGACCTTCTTTCGCTTATCTACAGTTGTTCTTTCAATGAAAACTTCAGTACCTGAAATGTTTTCTTGAAGTTCTTTTCGATTGAAGTCCCCTATATAGGTATATTTTGAGATAAGACAGAAAAATATAAAACGTTAATTGCATCATTGACTAAATAAGTATACATTTCGGTAAAAATGGATGTGATTACTAACGTGAATATGAGAGAGTAACTTGGACAACATAGGAGATTGTAATTCCACTTTAGTCTGTTTATCAGAAATGTCATACAGTTATTGGGTCATAGTATCATTTACTGGATGACGTTTCGAACGTAATTTATTATCCATATTCTTATCATGTAGTCGTAAAGAGAGATCACACTAGATGTAAATTGTTCACTGAAGTAGGAGTACTTTATTTTCAAAGAAGAAATATGGAATTCAATGACAATGATGATAAAGGCATTTACTGATCGTGATAATTCCTTTCTTACCATATTCTGTTTAATCTGTTACCCTAGCATCTCATTTTTAAACTCTCGTTTATACTACTCAATATTAGCAAGTAGTATATAAATGTTTCTTTGTAATGTCATTTCATCACTAACTTCGTTCAGGCTTACATTTTTTATCATTTGATAGACTCAGATATCAATGCTTTCCCTCGTTCATGATATTTTTAGGCTTCTTTTCGTTGTTCTATGATGTTCCAGTTTGACCTCAACATTTGTTTATCTGATGTCTTTACCTCAGCTTGAGGAAATACCTGCGTGCTTTGGACACAGCCCAGTTGTTTAACGGTTGACACACTCTCTGCAAAACACTTTGATAGCTATAAGCCCACAGATACCTCATGAAACGTGATTTTTTAACAGAATAAACAGTAAAATGATGTTGTTGTATTATAATATATGTGATGACCTTCTGACTTTATATCGCATACAATGGTGGTGGATAGGTATTTAGGTGGGTAGGTGAAATGGAAAATTTCGTTTAAATTCTCTCTCTCACGGTGAATGGTGAGTGTCCTTTTGTTTGTTGCTGTTGGCTGAGTATGCTCAGCACACCTGTCTTCTCTACGTTCCTCGGAAAGAAGTCCCATCTTCGTTGCGCTGCCCTGCCCTGCCCTGCACTGCCCTGCCTCCTCTGCCAACTTGTTACTTCTCCCCTGTACATCTTCCACTTTGTGCACAACATTAGATATTAGATATAAATCATGATGGGTGAAATCCAAATCTTCTCCTGGGATCTCTTCACCAGTCAAACAGCGAATGCCCAGCTTCTCACTCCTCACAGTCTCTATCGTGTTCCAGTCAAGTCAACTACAGTCACGAAGATGATCGATGATAGTAGGCGACAACCTTGTCTTACTCCTTAATATCCTCACTTCAAAGGCATCACTGAGCTATCCATTGTGAATCACTCTGCATGTAGTGACATCATATAGCATATCGCTGTTGACTGAGGTTGATACAGCTATTTCGTACTCCCCAGTGTTGGGGAAGTTTCCAAATTACTTGTCGGTCGATGCTATCAAAGGCCTTTACTGAATCGATGAAGTTGAGGTAGAGAGTTGACTGACATTCTACACTCTGTTCTATTATGATGTGTGGCGTTGTAATTTGTTCAGCACAAGATTTGTTTTCCTGAAGTCATCCAGCCAGTCATCCAGCCAGTCAGCCAGCCAGCCGGCCTATTTCGGTCGTAATTTTGAATCCAGAGTGTCTTGTAATCTCTCCAGGATGATGCGACATAATAGTTTGCTTGTGTTGGACAGGAGCATGATTCCGCAGCAGATCTTGTAGAAACTTTGGTCGTCTGTCTTTTGGAGTTTGACAAGATGAACCTTCTTCCCATCGATCAGCAGGTAGCTCTCCTCCCTCCCTCCCTCCCTCCCTCCATTCCTTCCTTCCTTCCTTCCTTCCTTCCTTCCTTCTAAACCTCCTGAAATAGTGGTGTGAGAATTTTCTCTATTGTCTCTGCGGCTGTTTTCAGTGGTTTTATTACTAGCCAGTATATGTATATTCGGCTTATGCTCATCGATTTCTCTCATTATAACATTTATCATTTCCTGCTGAATTCTACTCGAAGGAATGTCACATATTATGACTACCGGTGCTCTTACCGGGAACCTAACATTCATTTTCTCTTTGAATCATGTAATCACTACTAGATATCCTTTCATGCTAGATCGGGTGTCGATGTACTCATACATTACCTATCAGTTGTTCAAGTAAGGTAAATGTAATGCGTGTTGTATATCTGAGTGCGGACAGAAATACCTCACACATTACACTCAACATGTCATCATCGATATACTAAAGCAGAAAATGACTAATCACCTTACTAAATTCATCAAGCTTAACGAATTTATGGAGCAAGTGAATCGGGAAGAAATGTGGAGCTTCACGTAGCTAATTCGTACTCAATTCAACTGTTGTTTAGTAGGATACAACATATAATTTTGAAAACATTGTTGCATCACAGATCCAGTATGCCATACCAGTAGTCACATCAGCTGAGTGAAGTGGATGAGTTCCTGACTGTCTGACTGACTTCTTGTATGGCGAACCACATATCTACCGAGTTGACTAATCAAGTATTCACGTGTCATCTTGCTTGACCTTGACTAGGCCAGAATTTCTCGACCTTACCGAAGACTAATTTAGTCAGAATTTGATGAATGATTGAGAAACTCACGTTCTTCGATGTGCGAATCATTGGATTCTCGTAAAAGTGAAGGAGGAATACTCCATTTGATGAACACCTGACAGAAAATATAAAGTCAGTTAAATAGTGAGTATTACATCAAATTAATTACGCTAATATAGAGTTATATGTACTCTGTCACCTTGACAATATTCTGTGCTTTCATTCATTTCTTATTTTAATCATAACTATATAAATTTTCAGTTAGGTAGCCGTATGTTGTACTTTTGACCGTTTTGTGTCCATGATTATATGAGTGGTGGCCCTGGAAATTTGGTTTTCTCAGAGACACCTTTCTGTATGGTGAAGTAAGCTTGTAGTTAAAACCATTAGTGGCTTCATATTGGTCCACTTATTTTTTGAAAGCTACTAGGTTGATCGTTTACGTGGTTCTAATTAAATTACCAAAAGTCATCTGTGTGTAAGTCATTCTTGTTGAAGAAGCTGGAGCAGTTTGAGTTCAGCAACTTAAGCTACGTGTTCGAAAGAAACAATTGATGACTCTGTTGCTACATGGTCTGTTTTCAGATTTTAAAAAAATATCCCTCAGTACCCTGGAACATGGAGTCTTGCAATTGTCAACTTTCGCACTGAGTATAAACTCTCTTATCATCACGTTGGTTTACTGCCTTTCTCGGTCCACACTTCACAACCATTTACTTAACTTACTATTCCTCAAATTATCCTTGTTTGCTTCAATCCTGTTAATATGAAAATTTACACAAAAGCCCTTACACTATTTGCCTTCTATGTAATTCAAGCTGATGTCTAATTATATCAATGTTACTTCAGAATAAATTTATCATCAGACAGTCCTCTTGAATACTTAGTTACTCAACTGATTCCCATTAAAACTATCTATTACAAGTCATTCAGACTGAATACAACTACTTGAAATGTTGAATATTGATCAAGTGATGTTCTACAAAATGTATCATAGTTTATATATTTGCTTCTAAATGAAATCTATGAACTTTGAAGTTTCACCTTCGTTATACACCTACATTCATTTCAATGAGAGAATTCTCTAAATGATTTATTCAAACAAATGTATGTTGTTGTTATGATTTATGAATTCATGTATCAAAGGAAGTAATATGGATCTATGATCGATGAAATTATTGAAAAGAATATTCTTTTTCATGAAACCTTTTTTTAAATTATTGTCATTTGTTGATATTCGTTGTTCACCGTCGTTATACTGGAACCAATTGACCAACCTCTTGTAGTATTGAAGCTCCTATGCAGACGTCTCGATATTTGTTGTTGGAATTCAATTGGTTATGACTAGCAGAGGAATTCAGGACTCACGTCTCGTCCTATTTGTAACTCGTCATCTGGATGTGCCGGCACGCCAGTGAGCGTTGTTGTTCCTCTCAGCAATCGCTTCAAACACTGAGGTGTTATCGACTGGACTACTGAGATACGACAGACACCTCCTGTAAGACGGTTGCCAGTTATTATCATTTATTGGTACCTGTAATTCTCCGTTGTTATATTACACCGAATTGAGCCACAACCAAGTCGATTGTAACAGTTTTAAATTATTTTATTTCTTGTTTGCTTTGGTTAACTTCCTTCCAACTCCACGGATACTTTACAATTTGATAAGTTCTTTTTTTAACTAACTTATCATCATTAGACTGGCATATTAGATTTTACACTGTATAGAAATGCTATGAATTTGAGTTGGATATAACCTATGCTTCACCACGATAGTTTGCTCTAATACTCTTTTCTACTTTCACCTCCGTACTACTTCAATATTAGTAAGTAGTATTACGATATATCGACTAATTTGTCGCTTAGTTTGTCTGCGAAGTGGTAAATAAAACCTGGTTATAAACGTAACAGTAAGGTGAATTATAAAAATGTATATTCAAGCAATATTGAGGTATCTGCATAGGAACCCATATGACAACAGACATCGATCAATTCGATCCTGCATGACAGCGGAGAAACAGAATTACACATTAGAAGAAGACATAAGAGCAAACAATATTGTTTTCAATTAGCTCTCATCAGGCTTTACGTTAATATACATAAATTTTCTTACATACAAAACATTAAAACAGTCATGGTGAATCATTTAGTCTGTGGTTATTATGAAATGAAGCATGTAAATAGTAGATATCTAGATAATTATAATAATAATGACAATAATAATAGTTACTATCACTTGACTATCTGAAACAGATATAATTTGGCGAACTAGTATTTATACTGGGTGACGTGATGACCCGGTGGTCGCTGGTTCTTCCTGGCATGGGACTCCTCAGCAGTGCGCACACACGACCCCGTCAAGTATCGAACCTACCGTCTTTACGTTCAGTGGCCAGCACGTTAACATTGAGCCACTGGGTCGCAATTCAGTGGTCTATATTTCCAACTTCTGATAACT